TTCTCATACAATATGGACTTTGCTGTATTGATTCTGCCTTCTTAAGGATATGCATTACTGTGGTTTGTGGGTGTTACCAAAGTTCGACGTTATGGACCTTGTTAAAGGGTTATGATGCACTAGTTCTGGAACGTTGATTTTAATGTATTTGCTATGCTGTATGCAATTAGTATAACAATACAATAAAGTGCTTCTGAGTGAAGAATGTGTTTATCACGACCACGTTTCAGCACCATCCTTGATTGCAGGCATTTGTAACCACACCAACACATTTGTGCAAAAGTTTACTACAAAATATGAGTTTCATCTGCTTCAGTTCTTGTGGTGTTCTGTAAATTCAACAATCTTTTTAACGTTGGACTGTTCTGATGGTGTCCCCATTCTCCTCAAAGGCTAACTTGGTAAGACGACTTCTCTGGGAAACATGTAAGTCCACACTGTTAGAACATGCCAAACTGATTTTAACATGGTCCAACACGTCTACCAAGACTTTACTGAAGGTCTGTCATGCATTGGCAGAGATCTCGGTCTAGTAGCTTCTGCATTGATTGGCAGAGATCTAGGTCTAGTGGCTTCTGCATGCATTTGGCAGAGATCTAGGTCTAGTGGCTTCTGCATGCATTTGGCAGAGATCTAGGTCTAGTAGCTTCTGCATGCATTGGCAGAGATCTAGGTCTAGTAGCTTCTGCATGCATTGGCAGAGATCTAGGTCTAGTAGCTTCTGCATGCATTGGCAGAGATCTAGGTCTAGTAGCTTCTGCATGCATTGGCAGAGATCTAGGTCTAGTAGCTTCTGCATGTATTGGCAGAGATCTAGGTTTAGTAGCTTCTGCATGCATTGGCAGAGATCTAGGTCTAGTAGCTTCTGCATGCATTGGCAGAGATCTAGGTCTAGTAGCTTCTCCATGCATTGGCAGAGATGTAGGTCTAGTGGCTTCTGCATGCATTTGGCAGAGATCTAGGTCTAGTAGCTTCTGCATGCATTTGGCAGAGATCTAGGTCTAGTGGCTTCTGCATGCATTTGGCAGAAATCTAGGTCTAGTGGCTTCTGCATGCATTGGCAGAGATCTAGGTCTAGTGGTTTCTGCATGATTTTGCAGAGATCTAGGTCTAGTAGCTTACCATCTTGAGGACTTATTCTAGTATCTTGTGAATACCAGCAACCTGTGCTGTTGTTTCTCAGGAGGCTCAATGTATAAAGCGTATTCTGGAGTTAATATGGTGCTCTTTAGTTATCGTGGAACCCTGGTGACAGAAACATGAGACAAATGCAGGTCTATGTTTTTGCTGTAGGCTAAGTCTTGCACTGTTGGTATGTTGGATAAAATTTTTTTTTAAAAACTATTCACGTTTGTGGTCGCATTAAATTTATATTTTACATTGGGGTTATGTTACATGGGCAGTTTAGTTGCAGATAGTGTGTGTTTGAATTATTTAACTAGCCATTGAAGTTGTATGAACACAGCTTGAATAAGGCAGAAATAATTGGAACATTTGTGTGAAAAAGTGCTCAGTGCTGCCTGTTAGCTTGTAGCCATTGTATTGGGATAATCATTTGAGCCATTGAATCCCTTTTAAATGTGATTCTTTGTATGCTGAGAACAGACCAGGTTTGGATGAATGTCATGAAACGTCTGCATTGCACACTACTTTAGCTGGTAGTAAAATATAACATTGGAAATATGCAAAGCTAATTTGCAGCCCATAGCAGGGATATCGAGTAGCTCAACGCACGTTCCCACAATCGTAATAAAATTATAGGTAGAATAGCGTGATTTCCTTGGTTACTAATTTACCTGTTCAGGTACCTGGCAATGTCAGACATGCACTAGAACTGGAAGAAATGTTTTGTTGCCAATGAAATATTGTATGACATTTGGCTTTTCAATTTTCTTTAGGTTTTATACATATTTATATGGGGTGATCTGCATTATGCAAGAGGATGGCAATAGATCTACTTTCTGTTCACACTACATTTGACGGCGAGGGTTGTAACTGAGATATTAGAACCTTAGCCTTGCAGTAAAACAGACCTCATGTTAGCACTCCTCATGGAAACTCACTAGGTATAACCTAAAACAAAAAATACAGTATCCTTAATCTGGTCCATGTTAGAATATTAAACTAACCATCTCTTCAGTTCACAGCCTTCAGTTTTATAGAATAGATTACATTTGGGCTCAGTACAAACCATGTTAATAAGTTTACATCATTTTCTTTAAGCTGTTGAGAAATTTAAGCTGGTGCATTAAATGTTGTCATGTAGCAGCCCTAGTAAAACCAAATCTGACGGATGACTGTTCACTTGTTTAAAATAAGGTGTTTTAAGCGTAGCCGTTTTAAATCCCTTGTTAAACTGATAGGCAACAAATGATCAAAGTGTTGACATTTTTTAAAGTTGTTTGAACTAAAACCTTTTCACAGCACTAATGAACAGATCGTTCAGGTTACTCATTAATGGATAGTAGCTAAACTTTACAGTATAAGAACATACTTGCGTTTTTATGCAGTAGTTTAATAGACTATCGTACTCCATAGAGATCACATACTGTGTTTATTGTTCTAAGCCATGGGTTGGCTTCCTTGGCTCTCCTGCTGTGGTGAAACAACAAGTCCCATCATGCCTTTGCTTCTAGGAGTCATGCCTCTGTATTGCAATGAGATTTGTAGGTTCACAACAGCTGGTAGGCCAAGGTTGTTAAACAGTCTATTAACTTTGAAGAAGCAGCCTGGCTTTACATTGAAACTCTGGGCATAAATAATCATAAACTTTGCAGTGCGACTGCACTCGCACTGCAAGGGTTAAGTGCTCGTTTTTGTCTAGGGAAGAGAAAAAAAAGTTATACTCACCTGAACCTTGGAGTTGGCTGGTTGTTAGACTGATCCTTTCAGCCTTGCTCCCCCTGCACTCTGGCGGTCTAAGATCATGTTGAGTCATCATGTTCTATACAATGTATAAGATGTGAGGACGCCGAGGGACATGCCATTGCTGAAGTGAAGGAGGAGACAGCCTGCAGAGAGCAGTGCAGAAGTCCAGAGTTCTTTAGGGCACAGTTGCAAATTGGGGATGTTGTTGGTCCTATTTTTATTTATTTTTTTGACAAATATTGTGGATATAAACGTGGAAACGCTATACTTGGCTTACTGTGCATACCAATTGGGCTCCCTGTACTCCTGTACTGCAGCACTCCGTACCTACAATACGTTAATTCCTAATTAAGTCCATCTCCTTTCCTTTGAACTATTTATCTATATACAATGCGTGTTCAAATGACACCAATGTGTGTATGCATGCTCATCAAATGTGTATTCATCTGTATATGAAGTAGAAAGAGGTTTAGTACTATTATAGAGAATACATAAGTGTTGCAGCCTTGCATGCAGTCAAAATGCTGCCGAGACAAAATAAAAATGCTGATTTTCTAAAGATGACATTCGCTTTAAATGTCAGTTTATCATCTTGTGATGCATACAGCCCAAGGGGTACTTCTGGTATATACAAGACATACATTTAGCTGAATAAATTAAACCTAGGATCTTATGAATAATAAAAAAAAAAATGTGTACCAAATGAACTCTATAAGGTATGTTTTAGTAATTGAATAATATAGGGTCACTAAGCCCCTCTTCACAACTAGGCATTTTGTAGCTGAAAGGGCTAAGCACTTCAATGCTCAAACAGAGGATTTCCGTTATTTTCAATAGCATCTGAGCATCCTTTTGCCTATAGGAAAACGCATGTCGCTGCAAAAAGCACATCATCTACTTTTCTGCAGATTTCTTCGCATTTGGCTTTATAGGCTTCAATGGGAATTGCTGTAAATGTGCAACAGAGATGTTTTCTAATGTTTTTGGAGCGTTTTGTTACACATCTTACGCACAAGAACCAGCCTTACTCTTTGCAAAAAAACACTGCGGAACACAATGGAGGACAACTGTCGGGTTCACATTGCTATGTCACCCCCTGGGGAGATTAATCATCTCTGTATGCGCAAGTGACCATTGTCACCGGGATTTATAGTGAAGAAAATATTACAATTTGAGTTGTCACCTCTGCAGGAATAGAGGCGAATTAGAAGATTAGTCTTATAATGGGGATGCTTGTTGCAGCTCCCTAAGGCTAGGTTCACACCTAGGCAACTCCTGACCACGCAGTAATCCGCACGGTTTTGTGCACGATTGCCGCACGGTCAGGAGTCACCAAGGTGTGAACCGATAACGCTGTGGGCGCCATCATTTTCTAATCCCGCGGTTTCCCATGCAAGGTGGATCGTGCAAGTAAAGCCAGCCGTGCATCGTATGTCACAAAAAAGGTACCTTTTTTTTAGCGATTGCTGTGCGGATGTCACCCCATTGAAATCAATAAGTCTGCGCGGCAATCACTGTGTGCATTAGCACACGATCGCGCGGCCCCCGGGGTGTCGTGTGGTGTAGTGCAGGTGTGAACCTAACCTTAGAGGGAATTTTCCCTCACTTTGGAAAGATTTTCTCTCATTTCTTGTTTTGTCTTCAGGACCGGAAGTGAAGGGAGTTCTCCCCAATGGGACAAAGATGGGGACAAAAACATGACAGGGATTTTAACCCTACCCTACTGTATAAAACATTAAGGGTTACTTTACATGTTTATGGCATTGGAAGTATGTATGGTAAGTATTTATAAAGGGGCGCAGCATACCAAAATACCTTGAAAACCATTATTACAATGGTTTTCAAGGTATTTTGGTATGATGCGCCCCTTTATATGGACCACTAATTTGTTGATTCCCTGCATGATTTTTGTTTTGAGAGCTAAATGTCTAGATTTGCACCATGGAAATCTGCCTCTGGGCCCAAGCACATACTCGTATTTATGATGAGGAGTATGGACATCCGTCATCACAGTTGTTATTAATACATTTTCCATTTTTCCTTATTTTTCTGCTGCAGTGAGCCTGTGTTGTACATATAGGTGCAATATTTTTGCCACGCAAGGTACTAACAAAGTATTTTTTTCTTCGCAGATCTGAATTAATTCAACATACCAATGCACTTGCCCTCCCATGGAAGACAAGTTCCAGCGGCGAGCCTCTCTAGGTTCTAAATTACCGAAATTTGGCACATCCAAGCCTGTAGGAAGCTTTCTGCAACAGGCACAAAATGGCACTTGCAATGGAATATCCGCTAAGGGAAACTTTAGTGTCGAAAAGCACATTGAACATGACAGGACATCTGCATTGCCTTTAAACTGGAGCAAATCAAGATATCCACAAAATGACCAGATTTCTAGAGCACCTCCTAATTTTGCCATTGAGAAAACGTCCCAGGTAATGGTGCAGAATGATGCACACAGACCTGGAGTCCCAAAACCTGGCAAGCAAAGCAACATGTTGGTGTCGCATAAAGAAGACTTGAGTGACAATGTACTGTCTAGTTCAACAAAATTTACAAAAGGTACCCAGTTCGGAAAGACTTCCTACCCTGGGTCAAGTGGACATAAACCACTGTCTAATGGATTTTACACAGTCAAACCCCCAATTGGCTTATATAGACCAAGAGCCAATTCTGCTACAGGTAGAAATTTCACCACTAATGTCTTCACATCTGACAACAAGCCATTCTCCCATGTTAGGAGATCCCAGAGCTTTTCACACTCTATTCAGAATTCTAAGTATCCAGCTACAGGATTGACCAGGTCTTATTCTCTCCACAGAGAAACAGATATGACGAAAATCCATCAATCGCAGCATTTACCGACCCGGCCAGATCTTCAATCCAGGACTGCAAAGCTGTATGGTCTGTCAAATGGTAATGAACCACACATGAAGTCTATGTTTACAAGGACAGGATATTCTACAGGTTTAACTTCTGGATTAAAGAAACCCGTTTTTACAAATGGTCCTGTGGCATCAGCTCCTCTAGGTTACAAATTGACCCGTCCATCCTTACAAAAAGCAAACAGGCCACCCTACCCCAGGGAGATCATTGCTGATGGAACAAAAGGATCTTCTGTCGCTCTAGTAAACCACAAAATAGAATTAGTGTCAAATGGCACATGTCAAGCAACAGACCCACTTCATAAAGGGGAAGAACAGGACTTAGACATTGATCATTTCTCTTCTTGCAAGAATCTAGAACGGCAAGACTTCAGAGATAGTTATTTCAGTGAAGATGTTGATGAACTTTCCATTTCCTCCTTGTCGTCATCTGACAAAAATGATTTCAGTGAAGATTTTAGTGATGATTTTCTAGACTTGGAAGATGTGAATAATACCATTATTGAGGAAAAACCAGAGAAGACATTCCCTGAGAAGCCTACACAACATTCGTTGGCTGAACCAGATGAAAAACAAAAAATAAGCAATAATATAGATGACTGGCTTGATATGAATATGTCTGGTAAATTTACTTTTTTATTTCCCATAATTTATCATTACACATGATCCTTAAAGCCCAAGTACAGCGAAAGCATTTGCTTTGGACAGAGTAAAGATCGGTTAATATTAGGGATGTATTAATACTAGTATTGGTTTCTGTGCCGATACCGAGTATTTGGGCGAGTACTCGTACTCGGCCAAATGCTCCGATACCTTCCACAATACTGGAACTTACGGTCAGAGGAAGATTTCTTGTGACCGGCAGTGCTTTAGGGGAACATGGAGCCTGCTTACCAAGCAATCAGGAAGCCAGGCGGCGAGTAATGACCCGCCTCCTGCCTTTCTGGTTGACCGAACAGCCGGCTCGATGCTGATTGACTGGAAAGCCAGCTTTCCAGCCAATCAACATGGAGCCGGCCAATCAGGAAGCTGGGAGGCTGGTCATTACTCGCCGCCTGGCTTCCCGATTGCCCGGGAAGTCGGCTCCATGCTGATTTGCTTGGAAGCAGGTTTCCCGGCCAACCAGCATGGAGCCGGCTTCCCGGGAAATCGGGAAGCTCTGTGGCTTATTACCCGCTGCCCGGCTTCCTGATTGGCCAGGAAGCCGGCTCTGTGCCAGCGGAAGCACTGGTATTGGTACTCAGTATCGGCGACTACCAAAAGCAAAATATCGGTACTCATACTCAGAACCCAAAAAAAAACGGTATCGGTGCATCCCTAGTTAAAATCTGTCGGTATTAACCTCCTTGGCGGTATTCCAGAGTGTGGCTCGGGGTTAATTTTCTGCACCATAAGCGGTAACCCCGAGCCCCACACGGGAATACAGCGTAGCGTCTCTTACCTTGTCTCTCAAGCCGCACTGTGTCCTCCGGCCGATGCCGGCATCCGTCTTCCAGGTTCCGTCCCTTGCGAGCGTCGCAGGAGGGCGGAAGCGGCGGGAGGTTAAAAGAAAACAGATCGAAAAAAGGAAAAGAAAAAATAAATAATCATACCGCCAGGTAGGTTAAGTTACATCTCTGTTCCTGTTTGCAGATTTAGCCTAATTTTCTGCTCTGTTTGGCGCCTGCCTTTTGAACAGGAAGTCAGAGAAAATACATCGGTTGTAGTGCAAGGATTTTGTAGGCCATTACATAGATGGAAGCTGTTTTAACCTTCCAAAGGTTTTGTTTCCATCCATTTATTAGAGATTTACACAGCCCTTTCAGCCTGCACAGCCAGCCTGCAGACCTTCCTTGTTTCAGTAAGTCTGATAACAATTGCATATAGCAGTAATTATTATTTTTTTTTTTCTGGCCAACTTGATCCGGACATGTTGAACAAGTCCTAAAGGGATTATGTCCAGACCAGAACAGATTGTCCCCGGACCAAAAAAGCATCCCAATTGTATTTCTGGGCTCTGTTCACACCAGTACAGTCCATTCCGGTCCAGACAAAAAAATAATAATGCTTGTCTCATTTTCTCTGGTCTGGAATGCATAGAAACGCATGCAAACACACTGGGCCATACCTGTAAGCCTATTTTAAACTAAAAAAAAAAAGCACCAAAACGCAATGCACATCTGGTTCAGACAATGGTGTGAACCTGGCCTTAAAGAACTTAAAAGAAAACTAGTCTAACTTTTTTGGTTTTAATTCTCTCTTTGGTCACAGGAGTACAAGTCCTCCTGTGACCCAAAAGTCAGCATCTAGTGGACTACTGCCTGCTATATGCTGACAACACAGAGCCGCACTGCAGGTGGGGAAGATCCCAACAATATTTTTGGGATCCACCCTGCTTCTTGATTGACAACTGGCTTTGGCTTCAAGGAGCTGTGCCCACCCCTTCCCCTGTCTGTCACTTCAATGAGTTCTGGAGGAACAGAGGGGTGGGGGGGGGGGGCCCTCCGG